AATTCTATAGGGATCTGTTTGATTCAATACAATTGTCTGTCTGACAAACTGGGTGCTTGTAGGGATTGTATTAATTAATAAGAATTTAAAATTTAGAATTAGAAGTCTTAAATCTAAATATATCTAAATATTAGAACGGATTGTGAGGTATTTAAAAAAAAAAAGATTATTTTCAAATACATATATTAGATGCCCAACATATTCTGTAGTAACTTTTTTCTTTTTCTTTTCTTAAAAAAAATTTGATTGATCACTAGCTCATTACTTGAACAAAATTTTGATTGATCACTAGCTAATTACTCGAACAATTTGGTGATTATATTTCTTTTTATAAAAATGATCTTAAATTTAAATTATATAACATATAAATAAAGTGAGTTAAAAAATAAAAAAAAATTATTTTATTATGTAATTTAATTTTTTAAGAAAAAAATTTAATCCAAAAAATTTAATAAATCTCCACGCTACAATCTAATGACTCAAATCTTGAAATAATACATATCACTTTCAATTTTTATTTACTTAAATATATATTAATTTTTTTAAAATAAATTACAATCAAATCTATACTAAGGGGGTAATAGAAAAATGAATTATTGGAGACTCAAATTTCCAACTCAGGGTGTTCCTACAAACAGGCCAAGTGGTAAACCACTTGGTCTATGTGTGAGAAACATATTAATTTCCTTTTATTTAAAAAATATCCAAAAAATTTAATAACACGAAATGATTGATATTTTCGATTGACACTCTCACGGGGCCACAGTGCTTCATATTGTGTTTTTTTTTTTTTTTGAACATGCTTCATATTGTGTTTTCTTGTAAAATTGTCGAAATAAAAGAATTTGTCCTATTGGCAACTAACACATGCCCTAGATATCCATCAACTATCATTTGAGATCAATTTAGAAATGCTGATTTACAATGTATACAGACAACTTGTCAAGAAATAGCAACTTAATTAATGGTGTATAAGTATGTATCATTGACTTGCAAACCATATTCAAAAAATATAAGGTAATGTTACATGAATAACTTTGTTATATCACATTTTTATATAATTTCATATGTTAGTAAATGAATAAATACATTCAATA